TAGGATGAGCGTGAGTGTGGGTGTAGGATGAGCGTGAGTGTGGGTGTGAGTGTAGATGTGGGTGTGGGGGTAGGTGCGGGTGTGGGTGTCGATCTCAATTTTGTCTACATTCAGACAAGCACACCACACCACACCCGCATCCACACCCGCACCCCACACCCACACCCACACCCACACCCACCCACCCACACCCACTCACACCCACACCCACTCACACCCACTCACACCCTCAAGCCCACCGCGTCCATATGGGAATAGGGTAGGAAAGATTCCTAATAAAAGATTTGGATTAGAATATTCATTGGCCGGTCTGTTGCCACGAGGAATTATGTACACAGTATCTTGTTCAATGTTTTCCTCGATGTCTTTTTTCAGCGTTTTATCACCCATTTGTACTTTTATTCATTCTAAAAGATGTTCAACAACGTCATCAGACGAAATTTCGGTACCATTAACATGCAAGATAACACTACAACACAAACAACGGTAGATACAAATATCAATGCCTTTTTGTTTTACCTCGCAATTATTGGTATAGCTGTTGTAGTGTTGGACTCAGATGCATTGATCAGATGGTTAAGAATATAATTTGTTCTTTCGTTTTCAACCGCTTCTACCTTAGCGGAAATTTCCATTGTTGCCCAGGAACACTCCGGGACATCATTCTCAAGTAATTTATTGATTGTTGATTGATTAATTGTAACATATCGATGAAGTAGATTGTCTGAACTAAGTCATTTAAGTGCATCAGAAACCTTTGTTTTTCGAACAGTCAAAATATTTTTTAGTTGACTTCTTTGTGGAGTGCGACAACTAACAAAAATAATTTTTAGAGAATCACATAGATCATCTAATTCTAATGGCAGGGTAGTAGCTATGTTAATAACATCTTTAGGAAAGCTTATGTAGTTGCCTTTTAAAGTTGATTGAGCTGTGCTTGTCGAATGAAAAGACGAATATAATTTCACAATGCAGCTGTTATGTTGGTAGAGAGCAATAAGTGTTTGCTCAGGAATGGTTAGTCCTTGTAATCGCTGTGGCACATCTCCCATTCATACTTTATTGACAGCTGAAAACTTGCGTATTTTTGCTTTCACCACGGACTACCAACATTTTGTACAAATGTCGCAGTATACCGAAGATTGTCTCTTTTTATCAAAAGCTTTATGACATCTTGCTTTATAGAGAAATATACTGTTTACCCAAGTAAATGATTGATCATCCATTGATGATTTTGTATTCCTATCTATAATAAAAAGAAACCTGATTAATCTTGCTAGTCTAAGTGTTACAATGATCCAGTTGCTTCTCTTTCGTCTCGACCGAAAGCTAAACCAAGATCGTCATTATTGTTAAACTTATCTTTTGAATGAAAATTGCTCATTCGTTGCATTATGGAAATTATGTCATAAAGATCATTATGTACTCTAAGCAATTCAATCGATGGAATTTCGCGCAAGGGTATGTGTCAGAGGTTACTCTTATAGCAACGAGCATTACAAATGCCACAAGCATTCTCTGCTAGAGAACTCATTGACATATGTCGACTGAAATTTTTGAGCAGACAATCGTGCATTGCATTTCAATAGGTTTTGGTTATTCAGTGTCGCTACTTTTAAGATTTTTGTTTCTATCAGTAACCGTTTGTGCTTACACATTTTTCTGAAGATGTTTTCTCTCACGAGCCTCTGCTTGCTGTTGCTCGACTTTCTTCCGGTGCATAAACAGCGCGTATTTCAGTATTTCTCCTGCGAGCTAGTACACGCACTTTTTCAGTTTCTTTTGGTGATATAGTAGCTCGTTTAGTCATACTCCTCCCAAGAGCAAGTGCTTGCTATTGTTCGATATCTTTCACTGTAAAAGTAATTCGCCAAGCTACAGTTTTCTCACGAATTAATACTCGTGATTGGTTGATTTTCTGTACTGGGGATGTGGGTATTAATTGCGATACCCACACCCACGCCCTTCATTTCTTGTTGATGAATACCAGTATTTTAATTGAAAATCATACATTACATTTAATTTTTAAACCAATTCACTGTATTTTTTAATCAATATGTTAATTTTAATCAATGAATTTGGAAAAGCATTAATTTTATGTTCACTTCATCATCAAAAATACCATTTTTCATGTTTTTTCATAGATTTCAAGGTTTTAATGAATTTATTTTATTTTGAAGTTATTTGATCTACACGAAAAGAGTAATTATATGGATGCATGGTGTTCTGAAAAGCATAGTTTACTAGTACACTCTATTTCAAATTCTCATTGAACACATCGAACACTCTAAAAAAAAAA